CGGACCACTTCCCTCTGCCAGCCTCTTTTTACGTTTTTTTATTTTTGTACTACGCTGGTTCTCATTGTTTACATGTATTTTAAGTTTATTTACACCCATTTGTAAATTTTTTAATAAAAACATTGAGATCCTTCGTTATCCGTGCATAGGTTACAATGATTCAGATGATGTGTGGATAACAGACATCCACATCTGCTGCGACTGCGTCTTTTTTACGTTTTTTTTATCTCTTGTATTTTAAGCTCCGCTCTATTTGTTAATGTTTTCTTTTTACTCATTCATCCTTTTAATTTCTCTTTTACGGCGAGAGAAAGTTACTTATTTTAAGATTTTTATTAATGAATCGCAGCAGATTCTTTTACGTATTTTTTTTTTTTTGCCATAACTGTAATTCTTTAATTATTTTCTAACGTTATATTGTTTTTATTATCGGTTCTATCTTTTGCATATTTTCCGTTATTATCTTATTTATTGTTTTACTATATTTGTGTGCTACGCCGCCGTCCGCGGGGGTAATGTAACCCCATGTTCATGTTGAATAAAGGAAGTGGATACTGTGCTTTAACTACCCTTTGGATTTAGCTGTCTGGATTCTACACCGCGGATGCCGAAACAAGGTTGTACTGCCCCTTTTACTCGTCCAGGCGTGTTTATGCTGGACGTGCTATTTTACTATTTTACATAAACTGTGAACCATGTGTGCTCCTTTGACTTTTACTTTTTACTTTCTCTGAATTTTACTTACTTTTATCTTGTTCTTTTACTTGTTACTTTTATTCATGCTTATACCTTTTACTCGTCTTTTACTAAAGCTTTACTTTTCCCCTCATTTTACCTTTTACTTGTTTTATCTTAGATGTTAGTTCTTTGTATTGTTTTTAAGCCCTTCTGGCATGCTTTCAGTTTTTCTTAAGACTTTCTGGCGTTTTTTTCCATTCTTAAGCCCTTCTGGCAACTGTCTTTTACGTATTAACTTGTTTTACTTTGGTGCCTTCTGTACAGTTCTTTTTGCTCATTTTAGATTTTGTATTTTACTTATCATGCACCTTCGTATTGGTCACTCTCCTAGTAGGCCTGCATCTCCAGGGATGATTAGCTTGTGAGGTCGTGTGGATTCTGAGCCTTCAGCTCGGTCCCCTCACCCCCTTTTTCGAGGGACGAACGGGGCCCCTCATTTTCCTTGGCCCCTAAGCCTGGAGCCTCCCGCCTCACGGGTGGCCTCTTTTGGGTTCCTCTCTCACATAACCATACAAGCTCTTCGAAACATGAGAGAAGTATACTAAAGAGGTTTTTAGCAAGGAGACACAGAGGTATACATAACAAAATTTATTTTGATGGAGTCAACCATTAAAGGTAAAAGCTTCTTTCTTATCTGTAGCTGTGAAATGAATTAACAGTGTCATGATCAGCGATGAAACGACAGCAACGAGACCAGCTCAGCAGGACTCCCTCAGACTCACGCATATCCTCCTCCTCCGCCGCCTCCTGCTGCTCCTCCGAAGGACTGCGTCCTCTGGTAGGGAAGAGGCGGGGCCACGGGGAGCAGGGCCCCTTGGGGCTGGTACCCCCCCTGGTCGGCCACGAAGGTGATCTCCACAGGGATGCCCTCCGGCGCCTGGTACCTGTAGGTGGAGGAGGCGTGGTCATGTGTGTGGCGAGAAAGGCTGACAGTATGTTGGGGAAACAAGAGATGTGATGAGAGGCGAGGCTCCGGCCTGAGCCCGAGAGGCACGTGACTCACCTCCAGCCTCCCTCCTGCACGTGTCCGTTGTCTTCTTTTCCGGACTCGTAGCGGACGATGCCGTTGGCGGCCTCGAACTCGAAGGTGTTCTCGCCGTAGGCGTTCTGCGTGCGGTCGTCCTTCACGATGGGGATGAACCGCCCCCCGCCGCCACCACCTCCGCCGCCGCCGCCGCCACCGCCGCCGTATCCCTGCGCTGCCGCCATGGCCACCACGCTAGCCAGCACCTGCAAGCAGAGGGAGGCATGGAAAAGCCCTTCCAGTGGGGCCCTAGTCCCAGCCAAGCACGAGAGGCGATCCTCAAGCGACTACTCACCACGAGGCAACTCCGAGTGTTCATGACTGCGCAGGGAAGCTGCTCCGAGACTGGCTTCCTTCGCACTCGCCCGCCTTATATACACTGACACATGCACCTGCTTCTCGGCCTGTCGAGGCCACGCCTCCGAGAAGGAAAATGCATTTCATGCAAAAATAGCTATGATGCAGCAGTTAATTTCTATATAATTGCTATGGTTATCATTATCATTAGCGATATGATTTTCTTTTACTGTTGATTTGTTGTCATTCCTTCTGTTGTTATTGTTTGCATTGTCATCTTCTTTATCATCATTATTATTATCACTGTCTTTATCTTCCTTTTTACTATTATTCATATTTTTTTATGAACATCACTAATTTGTTGCTATTACTTGCTTATTCTCATTATCATGAACATTCGTTATTCTGTTATCTTCCTATAATCATTATCAACATTTATTAAAATTTTCATCGCTACACGTATTACGATAAATGTAGTTGATATAATTTTCATTATTGTGATCCTTACCATAATAATCGTTGTTATTGCTAACCCAAACTATTGAAAGATACTTGTGTTACGTGACGATAACTGTGCAAAAATATTTCCATCAAATGATACTGATATTAATAGCAATAACAATGATCATACAACTGGTGATGGTGTTATTAATAGTAATAAAACATCTATTATCATTCAGTTACAATTTTTATAGCTAGGATGGATCCGTTAATGCTATCAAATTTCCGTTATCAACTCATTAGTGCTTCATGTTATGTTGCCGCTAAGACATTTTTTGTTAGACTATCAATTAAAAAATAAGTATCCTTATTCTAACCATTATCATTATCAATGGACTTTTTCGATTACTATCATCACCTTTTTTCTTTTACATTCAGAGCGATTGTGCTGTATATTTTCAACCATTATCATCATTAGCGTCTTTACTGTCAGTTCAATATTTGGATCAATATTAGCATTCTCACTGTCGCTCTTATTCTCCTCCTTATTCCAAGTATCACTTAATTTAGCTCCTCCATGATTTAGAGGCTTGCATGAAACGCCTCCCTGACGAAGACGGCAGCGACCGTTTTCGGCTTACTGATTTTCGTCTTGATCTTGTGCAACGGAAGATCTATACTACTAGTATGTTTTAATTGATAAACAAAATAAACGAAGTACGTGTAAACATATACTAATATTCTTGAATGTTTCTCTTTACATTTTAGTAGTCTCTTTTGCTTAGTTATATTTACTTTAAATAATGTAGTATGTGTAAGAATGCTCATGTGATTCCTGGGACCCACCTCGGACGGTATCAAGTTTGTTTACTTGGAGTTGTGGTTCTCTGCCATTTTGTTACTCAGATCGGCATCCCGTGCAGACAGACCTTTCAGAACAATGTGGGAAATAGGAAAATAGGGAAAACTTGAGAGGGGTACTCGATGGAGAGAAGCTTAAGAACCACTAACTCCATAATAATTAATACATGCTTCATACATCGACATGCCCAGTTAGGATGTTTGGCAAGAACATGATTACTGATTAGCTGATCGACTAACGGGGAAATAAGCGTTTTTTATGTTTCTTTTAGTTATTGCCATTTCGATGACGTCAAAGAAATCCAAAGAGATATGTTCTTGTCGAAAGATGAGTGAGTCTCCCTCCATCCTCCTTTTCGCTATATACATATGAGTGGGTAGGTGTAGGTGGGATTATCTGTGTGGGAGGGTTGGAGGGTATTTGGATATTCAGAAACGAAGCCACAGTTAGAGCCATGACCATGAGAACGTTTGAGGCACAATCAGCGGCGGACAGCGGAGTCGATTTATAGGATCGCATGTTATATGCACTGATTCGAGGGTATGTGTTTCATGAACATATTCTGAACCGAATGAACGATAAACAGTGAAGTTATAACCAAGTAGACTTTATTTGGTACATTAAAATAGTCACATTGGAAACAGAAAAAAAGGAAAAATTCACATAAAGCTATAAAACCAGTTAACAATAACGTTGAATAACAATGAAATAACATCAACGAGACAGTGCTCAAGACGACCGTGGAGGAAGAGTGAACACGAGATCAGCTAAACTGTTTCAGATTCACGCATATCCTCCTCCTCCGCCTCCTGCTGCTCCTCCGAAGGACTGCGTCCTCTGGTAGGGAAGAGGCGGGGCCACAGGGAGCAGGGCCCCTTGGGGC